TCTATGTGTAGTCACTCAGCCTCAGCATCAGAATCACCCACTTGCTTATTCCAAATTTGGCCTTATCTGAGACCAGTTGAATCAAAGTGTGAGCTTCTCTTTTTTGCCCGTTTCTCAAGGTTCATTGGCAGGGACACCGAGGTTTGAGAACCACTGCCTACTATAGTTTCTTTTATTTTTATTTATTTATTTATTTATTTGACAGAGTCTCACTCTGTCACCCAGGCTGGAGTGCAGTGGCATAATCTCAGCTCACTACAACCTTGGCCTCCTGGAATCAAGTGATTCTCTTGCCTCAGCCTCCTGAGTAGCTGGGACTACAGGCGTGCACCACCACACCTGGCTAATTTTTGCATTTTTAGTAGAGACAGGGTTTCACCATGTTGGCCAGGCTGGTCTCGAACTCTTGACCTCAGGTGATCCACCCACCTCGGCCTCCCAAAGTGCTAGGATTACAGGCATGAGCCACCATGCCCAACCCACTGCTTAATTTTCTCAGCGAATAGAAAACTAAACACCTTGTGAGACAGTGGTAGACAGGGTGTAAGGCATGTGTTTTTCAAAAAGCAGCGGAGATCTGAAATGCGTTCTGTAGGAAATAGTAGAAGAAATCTTCATGGATACATAAAAACCTTGCTGTGCAGATTGTGTGAACAGCTGAAACTGCTGACCTTACATGTATGATGATAACAATCCTTGTGACTGTCCATGGAGGGCCCCTCTGGCTATTAAGTATTTATTAAAGGTATGATGTGCTTAACATGTGGCAAATGTAAGTACTGATATAAAAGAAGATGCAGAAGAGGACACAATAAATCACTGAGTGTCTAATTCGGGAGGAAAAACAACACATATGAAGGGCATTAACAACAATATAATATTAGGTTATTAGCTAAATTGTGTGATAGCATAGTGTATAAATTCCCAAATAAGAAACTAATTGATAAAAGAGGTCGAATTTGACCAGTTCCTTGAAAATATGGCAGAATTTGAAGGGGCGTATCATTTAAATCAAGAGACGGTATCATCATGTGAACACATTTTTTTTTTAAGTTTTTTGAGTGGGGGGGTCTCACTCTGTCACAAAGGCTGGAGTGCAGTGGCATGCTTTCAGCTCAGTGCAACCTCTGCCTCCCAGGCTCAGGTGATCCTCCTACCTCAGCCTCCCAAGTAGCTGAGACCACAGGAGTGAGCCACTATGCCTGGCTTTTTTTTTTTTTTTTTTGTATTTTTTTGTAGAGATGAGGTCTTGCTATGTTGCCCAGGCTGGACTCAAACTCCTGGGCTAAAGCTATCCTCCTGCCTCAGCCTCCCAAGGTGCTGGGATAATAAGCATGATACTGCACCCAGCCAATAAAATATTTTTTACCGCTTTGTGTGTACAACACCTTATCTACGATGATGTCTGACATACACAGGAATGAGATATACTTTCCTGGCCCTCAAAAACATTAAGTCTATTGAGTAAAGGGAAGACTGATAATGGCTGGATCTTGGAGCACTGAAAAGCCCCAAGGACGGTAAACTCATGGAGGTTCCCTGGGAGATAACACTGGGTAACTGAGTGGATGTAACCAACTCCAGTTTGTTGAGTTGCACACAAAAGATCAAATTTTCACACATATGAGTTCAAGTAAAAAATGGTTTACTTTGCTTTAAGAATTCAATACAGGGCTATAATTAGGGAGCATGGAAAGAGTAGTCAGTAATCAAAAGAATCCTAATGATAGTGGCTATAAAGCTCAAGACACTCATACCTCTTTCTGGTGTAGGTGCCTGTCTTTGATTTCAGTATTTAAAATGACTTCTAAATAGATAAGACTTGCATCGTGCTTAACAGCATAAAATGTGACACATCCGTACATATCTGAATTGCTTATATTTTTATACTGATGCCCTCAAGAGGCTTATAATTCAGGGAAAACTGCCACATAAGCCCCACTATACCCATTTAAATGTGGATTGTGCAGCAAGGAAACAGTTTACAGAGAGCTGGAGAGTCACGTTTAAATTTGTCCAGCATTTCTCCAGCGCACTGACATGTTGCAAGTGGCATTTAAGATATCGTAGGTGGCAAATTAAAATATGCAACATTAACATAAAACAGATTACTTGAGAGGAATAAGAAATATTACGTTCACAAATAGAATCTGAGAAAATGTAATCAAACGGCACCTTTTGTCGTTGTTGTGGTGGTGGTGGTTGTTATTGTTACTGTTTTGAAGGGAAAGCAGTTTCGCTAACAAAATGCTAGCATGTGGCGGAAAGGCCAAGTTAATGCCTTCAAATGACTATTTCAACATTTTGGGGAGTGAAGGAGTTTAAGAAGGAAAAGGTGTGGAAAGCATGCAGGAGTCGTGCAGGAAGGTGCAGGTCTGTGTGTCTTGTTGTAAGGGCTATCTTGCGTAACCGCCCATCTGGAGGTCCAGTTTGTGTGATCCTGACTTCAGCCTAGCAGTGGTGGGCCGTTTGTAACTCCCGCTAAGAGGGAGGATTTCACAGCTTGGTCTCTCTGCCTGGTTTGTTTCAAGATTGGCCCCTGGAATTTCTAAGCAAGCACATAATTAGATAAGCAAGCATGGTTCACAGAAGTGCCTGGTGGCAAAGGGAGAAACAAACAGTTTCAAAGTATATTTCAAGGCTAAAATCAAGAAAGGAAAAACAAAAAGTTTAAAAATGAATTTTGAGATTGGAGGTTGGGATACTCAGTGACAGAGTTAGACTTGGAAAACTGTGGAATAGAACCTGCAAATAAAAACCAAATAAGAAGCAGAGAAGTGCCTTTAAAGGCATCTTTTGATTGCAAGGAGGCAAGAGAGGAAAGTGGGGAGGGGGCGGCGGGAATGAAAGCTGTTTCTGCTAAGGAAGGCACCCAGTGAGCCACGTAGGGATGCTGGGAACCTGTGAGAGGGGAGACTGCAGGAGGCCAAATGTTGGCTGACTGTTCTGCTTGTAGCTGAGCCTGAGCACCAAGGAGGTTCAAAAGGTAGTGTGCAAGCAAAAAGAGTGCACAGACCAAAATCGTGCAAAAAAGGCTTGGGGGCACGGAGAGGAGGAAAATGAAAGCGAAGGGAAGAGAAGGCAACACTGAAAATCCTTTATGAAAATCCTTCATGAAGGGACCACATGGGCAACCAGCACAGTGCCTGGAAGTCTAAAAAGAGCCTGAGCTACCCCAATTCACTGCTTCCATGGTTGTGCATCAGATGAAGTACTTGAATTGCATTGTCATGTACATGAAAAAAAATTTAAACACTGGAAGCATTCTGTGTGCATCAAAATGCGATGAGACATCTGTGAACAAAGAGTTATGGGAGGGAAAAACTGCTGATACAAAGAAAAGTCTCAATATGTATCTCTTGTCCAAGGCCATGGGCCCTTTGATGGGAATGATACAATCTGCTGCATTATTTAAACTGGTGTTTCTCTCTCAATATTTTGAGGGGTTCAAACACATAGCTGATGCCTTGAACATTATATGCGCTATTTTGCAGTGTTATAGTATAATAACATACTTCAACTCATGCTATGTTTCTTAATTTTTTTCCCATTAAAACTTCTTAATGGAAGTTTTATATGTTTCCATGTTTATGTAATATTTGTGACACGAATGCCTATAAAATGTGATATTCAGATTCAACTAACTTGTATTAGGGGGCTCAGTGGGAAGCAGTATGCTACTCATTAACATGTAACACTTACATCATCCTCGTATCATTGCTGTGAAATAAGCTTTAAAAAACGTTTTGACATACAGTAATTATAGATTCACAAGAAGTTGCAAAATATAGTACAGAGAAGTTCAATGTATTCTTTACAACCCAGATTTCCTCAGTGGTTGCATTTTAGATAACTATGGCAAGATATCAAAACCAGGAAGTTGACATCGATACAATGTGTATGTATAGTTCTCTGGCATTTTATCATGTATAGATTTATGTAACTACCACATTCAATAGAACTATTACATTACCACAAAGATCTCTTTTGTGCTCCCTCACCCCTTCTCCCTCCATCAGTAACCCTTGGCAATCACTAATCTGTTCTACATCTTTATAATCTTGTAATTTCAACAATGTGATATAATCAGAATACATAACCTTTTGAGACTAGAATATTTCTCTTAGCATCATGCCCTGAGGCCCTTGCAAATTGTCCCATGTATCTATGTTTTGTTTTGTTTTATTACTCTAGTATCCTGTAGTGTGGATGTTCCATAGTTTGTTCAACTATGTATCTACTAAAAACATTTTAGTTGTTTCAAGTTTTTGGTTAATTCAAATAAAGATGATGTGAACATTTGTGTGCAAGGCTTTGTGATGTGGGCATCCATAAAGGCATTTCAGGGCTGAGGCTGAGCACTTAAATAAATTCCCCAAAGTGCAATGCTACTCAACCACTGGCTAGGTATCTGAACCCAGATAATTTTATTTTATCTCATATGCTGTCTCCACTATCTCATATTACCTGAGAAAAAACTGTTCTCCAGACTCTGTAGAAAGCTGGCAAAATAAATATATTTACTTCTTGATAAAATGTTGATTTTCGAGTAATATCCGCTCACTGATTTGATTGCTTTTAACCTGTTAGGTGCCAGGTTCTGTGCTGAGTGTTGAGGCAAAGCGCCTGCCCCACAGGGGATTTTACAAAATACAAAATATCATCTTTATAGCATGCTGGTAGCTTGCTCTATGCTAGCTGGTTTAACAGTTTTAAATTTTGGTTGGAAAATGTTCATTTAGAGTTAATCTGAGTGCTTTAATAATATTTAAATGTGTATTCTTAAATTTAAATGTGCTGAAATATTTGGGTTAGTATACTTTGCTCTACTTAGGAAAACAAGTGCTGAGCATGCATGCACAAATACAGTATTTAATTTTGTGAGGTATGCAATTCAGTACTTCTTCCAAATAGAGATGAGGTTTGGATGAATTTTTGTTGTAACTTATTCACAAATTAATTATTTCTTCTGTTTATTTTGTGTTCCTTTCCCACAATAGCATAAGAAATTAATCAACCGTCCACAGAGTACCCAAAGAGTTTCTAAGGATCCTGTAGGTGAGGAATATTCGCTTTGTCATCATTATGGTGCTTCCCCACACCTCTTATATGTTATACATATATGTGAATCATTTCATAAAAAGGAATGGAGAAAGTGACTTTCCAATTAAACAATCATTAACTTTATTGGTCTAATAAATACTTATTTCCTGTGAAGTCATACACAAATAAACCAAGCTAGCATTCTTAAATCTGCATGTAATTAAAGCTGAGTTGAAATCTGCAAGAAATACAAATGTTACTGAGTTTTATTTTACTTGTATGACTAGCAGTTGCTTAGTTTACTAAATAGATGACTATACTTTGAGCTGAAATGTTGACTCCTAAGTTGTAAATCTTAAAGTATGGTCAATTCAAATCAACATTTGAAGTCAATCTATTTGAAATTGAGGTATATGTTGATATGAAACCACAAGAAACATTTAGTATTTGGTTGTCATTATGCATAATTCAGTTACATAATAATGCTATAGATTTCAGGGTGCAATTGGAAACTTTTATTCTATTTTAGCTCTTGAAACATTTTATTTTGTGATGTCAGTAGCTGCTAATGTGATAATTTATTGGTCTTGAAAAAACATCAGCGAGGATTTTCTTACTAGTGCATCAGGCCCACTATGAATGATAGACTTTCAATCAGGGGTTGCCCTTACAGATTGGTACAGAAAATGTTCAGGTCTTACTAAACTCCATTAGGAATAGGATATAATAAACACCATATTAGAAACCTTTTCAGGTATAAATAAACTGTGTCTAAAAAGAGAGCAGATGATATAGAAAACAACAACAGCAATAGATGAAAGCTTTGCAAGTTTAATAATGCTATTAATCTTTGAAGAATTTGATGTCCAGATAAAAGCATAATCACTGCCATCATCAACAGTCACTGGAGAGTACAAAGGTAGAAGGATCCTTCTTATGGGTACTAGGAAGTTCTAGTTTCTTACACAGGTTAGGAGATATTTGTCCTCACACGAGTCCTCCCACAGGACCAATGCCATCAGAACTGCTGTAGGAAGGGTGACGGTAGATGAGCTTAGACATTTTGAGTGGGAGAAAACATGAAAAGTTTTAAATGCCAAGTAAAGACGTTTAGACAATAGGAAGACCCTACAAGAAATTCGTTAACAGGGGACTGGCAAGATCAGATTAGACTTTCAGGTGAACCAAAACTGACAGCAGGGATACAAGTGAGAACCCTGGTTCCTGCAACAGGCAAGGAAGAAGCTAGGTAGAACACGGTTAAGATTGAGTCAGCAAGGCAGGAAAGTAGAGCAAATATTTGAGATTATCAGAGTTAGGAACATCAGGACTTGGGTGCAGGGGATAAGAAATAGGCTTTGAAAAATGAGAATAACATCACATGTCTCAGTTTGCTCAGGTGAGTGGTCGCATTAACTAAGAAAGTGAATAGAGTGAAGGAAGATCAAGTAGTGAGAAGGAAAGGCCGTCATTGATTATTTTGATTTTAGAAATATGACATTTGTTTTGACTGTAGTATCCACTGACAGATAATTAGGAGATGAATATTGGAGTGCTATGCCAGGATTTAGGAAAACAATGCCAAAAGATAAAGATTGGGTAGATCTAGGATATTTCCCATAAGGTAACATCAGTAAGAGTTGATGCATTCATTCATTGAGGGGAGAGGACAGAAATATAAGAGGTCTGAGATAGGAGCAGTAATGCAGCAGTATTAGGAGGAAAAGAGTGAGCAGAGGGAACAGAATATAGGAGGAAGAGAGTTAGCAGGGGGAAAGGACAGCTGACAAAGGGCAAGAGAGGAAAGAGGAGAAGCAGGGGATGCCAGGGACTCCAAGAAGAGGAGTAAAATGCTCCATGGAAATCAGAGAAGATGCAGGCCAGGAATCCGTGCAGTGCGTAATAATTAGGAGGCCTCTCAGAAGACTGGAAAGGAAAGCTTCAATAGAGTTTTGAAGAAGGGAATAGAACCCCTAAGCAGAGATTTAAGCAGTGAGTCAATAGTGAGGAACTTGAGGCCTCAAGTTTACATTAGACATTAAAAGAATATGTGATAAAGAGAAGGAGAGAAATAGCACAATAGCGTGACACAGTAGCAGAAGCAAGGGAAGAGGAGGCCTGAGAGTGTTTGTAGGAAGCAAGGAAGGAGCCTTGGTGAAGGGGAGATTAAGGGACAGGTGTGAAGGGAAAATACTTGATGCAAAATAGTGTGAGGGATGGAATCCAGCAAACACAGAGCGGTGAGATTTTGTAAGAAAGTAATTTTGAAATGAAAACAAAGTTAGGAGAAATCAAGTCAAATGACTTTGGGTGAAGTAGAAGCAGACATGGGCTGAGAGAAACAGAATAAGATTGAGATTGGGGCTAAAGAGAAAAGATTAATGTCATTGTTACAAACAAATTTATATTGAGTTTAGAAAAATTATTCTTAATGGATTTTCAAGTGACTAAGGGCTCAAATGGTATTACATAGCTTACAGTTTGTTGATCGCATTCAACATATTTTCCTAACCTCAGGCAGCCCAGGTAAGTGAATACAATCTGAATAACTCAAGATTCAGATTGACAAACCGAGAAAAATGAAAGCTAAAAAAGACAACATATTTTAAGCTGGATGCAAGACTATCGTTGATGTGCATAGTTGATCACTAGGAGCAGTGCAGGTACAGAGATATGTGAGACTCTGCAGAGGTGACTGAATGACTGGGGGACACCAAGGGATCACTATAGTACTGATGGCAGCAAAGAGTATATTGAGCAGAAGCAAAGGAATAGAGGCCATGGAATAAGTTTAGGAGGTAGAGGTCAACAGTAATATTAAGAGGCTGAAACCATGGAGGTAGGATAATTCTGGCTGAGCATGAAACATGAAGATTGGCCTTGAAAGTCAGTTTCCAGTTTGGCGTCACGAGACATGTCATTGGAGTTGACAAAATTAAGGAACCACATAATCTAGGGTCAGACGTGTGAATGATGATCCGCAGGGCTGCTGATGAAGTTGCCTACAGAGTGTTGCTGATGACGTGGATGGGACAAGAAAAGCCTGCCCAGATAGCATGGACTTCAAATTGAATGCATTGCATGGAGGTAGCAGAACACTGGGTTGAAAGTGATGATGGAGAAGGAAGTGCTGGCCCCTTTTCCTTGTTTTCACAGAAAGGTGGCTTTATATTATAAAATCAGAGTGCAATTTACAGGAGTGTGTAGGAGGAAGGAATAGTCGAGTAATGAATGGAAGGCAGATAGAATGCTTGCTTAACACCAGACCAGGGAAACTGGTGCAGGGGTGGAGCATGAGAGTGGAAGAAAGTGGCTATGATGCAGGGGAGGGCTGGAATGTGAAAGGAGACAGATAGCGGAGAAAAAGGTTTTATTTAGAGTTATGGATCTAAGTTACATATTAGTAACAACCATAACAACAGGTGAACAGGAGTCAACAGAGGATGGCCCAGTGGAAAGTGTTGGTACAAAGGATCTTCCACAGAATTGTTTTTGGGTGGTAGATCATGTCGTGTGTGTGTTTGTGTGTGTGTGTGTGTGTGACTGTGTGCATAGTTAGGGATGTGTGTGAGGATTGGCTAGCTGCTGGTACAATTTATGCATCAGATTAGCACTAATAAGGAGAAATACGTTTTGAACCTAAAATGACCCTTCAAAAACAGTGCTACTTGGCTGGGCGCAGTGGCTCACACCTGTAATCCCAGCACTTTGGGAGGCCAAGGTGGGCAGATCACGAGGTCAGAAGATGGAGACCATCCTGGCTAACATGTGAAACCCCGTCTCTACTGAAAATACAGAAAAAAAAAAAAAATGGCTGCGTGTGGTGGCGCATGCCTGTAATCCCAGCTCTTGGATGTCTGAGGCACAAGAATCGCTTGAACCCAGGAGGCGGAGGTTGCAGTGAGCTGAGATCGCACCACTGCACTCCAGCCTGGAGATAGAGCGAGACTCCATCTCAACAACAACAACAAAAAACAAATAAACAGTGCTACTCAAAGCATGGTTGGGGACCTCAGCACCAGCATCTTCTGGGAGCTTGTTAAAAATGTCAAGTTTGCCCCTACTCTAGTTTTTCTCAATTAGATTATGTAGAGCAGAGTGTAAAAATCATTTTAACACACCCTCTTGGTTCTCAGGTACATTAAAATTTCATAAGCATTTAAAACTCTCTGCAATAGTTAGTGCCCCCAGGAGATGATCCCAGAATGCCAGGGATTCAGAAGCTTTTGACTGTTGCTCTAGGTAGTCTCATATCTGTGCACCACGCTCCAAGGCCAAACCAAAGAGCAGGGAGACTTCCTGTAAACAGGTGTGGAGGGTTAGACCCATGCATCCTTCAGGAAAGAGTCCTAACTCTGAGTGTTCCTCCTGTGCCTGACAGAAGCCCTTTGGGATAACTTGCTCCATTGGTTGGCTGAGGAGCTCTCAGAAGAAAATGCTGAGTCTCTTTCGTCAACTCTCCCTCTGCACCGTAGCACCATTCAGCTCATCAAACTCAAGAACCCTAATGATCTCACAGAACAGATCCACGAGTTTCTTTGCTTCTGGAAAAAATCACTTCCAACTTTCACTGACAAACTTCGCCTCCTGGCTCGACATCTCCGCAAGATTGGCAGGAGCGATCTTGCAGAAGAGCTCAAATTCAAGTGGGAAAATAAGGTGTTCACTGAACCACAGCAGTGGTTTGATGGGTTTGATGTAGCAGCCAAGTAAAAGCCTGATCACTCTTCCTTTACCCCTAGGAAAAGGCACATGGTGGGTTTTTAAGACTGTTTCTGTTAACATTTTCCTAGCAGTTTCCAAATGATATTATTTGAAGTCAGTCTATTTAATGATGTGCTATTGAGAAATCAGATGAGACAAAGGGAGAAGCACAGATCAGACAATAGAAAGCATTCCTGGGTGTGAGCGCTCCTCTCTGGTTGAGTGATTATGTTTTGCAATCATGAGTGTCTTCAGTTTGGCCTCACTTAATAGCATTTGCAATTGAGTTTGACTTGTTCACATTTTAAAAGCTGAGTGTGAAGAAAAGATCTGATATATGTAATTACTTATTAATTTGCTATCTACATAAAATTAAACTGGTTTTCCATGATTTCAAGTGTGAACTCAAAAATATCTGAGACAGTTCTCAATCAATTCAGAAAGATTATTTTGCCAAGGTTAGGGACACAGCCTCAGAAGATCCTGATGACATATACTCAAGGTGGTCGGGGTAGAGCTTGCTTTTATGCATTTTAAGGAGTTATAATACATCAATCAATACATGTATGATATACATTGGCTCAATCTGGAAAGATAGGACAACTCAAAGCGAGGGCTTCCAGGTCATAGGTAGATTTAAAGATTCTTGATTGGCATTGATTGAAACAGTTATTATCTAAAGACCTGGAATCAACAGGAAGGAAATGCCTGGGTTATGATAAGGAGTTATGGAGACCAAAGTTTTATAATGCTTATGAAGCCTCCAGGTAGCAGGCTTTAGGGAGAATAGATTGTAAATATTTCTTATCAGTCCTAAGGTCTGTTGATGTTTATGCTGGTCAGCTTTTCCTGAATTCCAAAAGAGAGGAGGGCATTATGAGGCATGTCCAACCTCCCCTTCCCATCATGGCCTGAACTAGTTTTTCAGGATAACTTTGGAATGCCCTTGGCTGAGAGGAGGAGCTTGTTCAGATCTTGGGGGGCTTAGAATTTTATTTTTGGTTGACTCAGGCAACCAATTCAAGTTACATAGGTACCATGGAGCCTACAGTAAACAATACAAAATAAATTGGGCTGAAAGACTTGATGTCGATGGTAGTAATTCACTTTAAAAAACTTGTCTAAGCTCGAAATAAATTAAAAATAGAATAACACTTCAGCCATTTACTGCCACAAACTTTTCCTTTATAAAAACATAACTTGGAAAAGGTAAAATTCCATATTTTGTTACTAGTGGAATGAGGCAGTGCAGAGAAAATAAGTTTTCAGTGAAAGAATTCAAGGCCTATTTCTTCTACTTAGGAAGAAAACCTGCTTTAAAATTAGTTAACAGAAGCCTTATTACATAAGCCCTAGATATACATCATTAAAAACAAACAAAACATCTGTAAATAGAACACTAAAATGAAAGAAAACTTAAAACTTATCTAAACCCCTCTTTCTATTGATAATCACTATTAATGTCTAGTATAAGCTTTGAGTTTTTGGAAAACCTAAAGCCCTTTAGCTGTCTGAAGCAGTTTGATATAAATGGGACATTGAACTAGTTTCACTGACTCATTAATGCAAAAACCATTAGGTCATTGGCTTGAAAACATCAGTAGCAATTAGTTTCAGTTATTGAATACCTAGGAATTAATTACGTTATAGTACCAAATTAAATGTTTTAATCGTTCTCAAATTTAAATGGAAGATTTCCTTCTACAAATTAACCAGGGATTTAGGTATCTGTTCAGTTATATATTGAAAAAGGCGGTTCCAATTTTCAAACATAGTCCCATAAAGGAATATTTTATTAGTCAAGATTTTTTTACATACTGCCAAAAAGATACAATAATATTTTCATGTATTCTTGAAGCAAATAAAACAGACCAAAATGTTCATTGTTTTCCTGATTGCAATCGAACAAAAAAGTAAAGAAACTGAAATTTGCTTCTTATCCTGCCACTAGAGATTACTATTATTAACATTTTGGCATAATTTCTTCTGGTTTTCTTTTTACTTGAAGAAAATATTTCTATTTCTATGTGTATAGATGTATCTAAGGACACTCACATATGTGTTTACCTGCATGCACACATGCTGATATGTATGTCCCCTCACAAACACCCCTGCCACACATGTCTCACAAATGCACCCGCAAACACACTGGCCTACCCTTTGTCTGCATGGTTTTGCATCCACCTGTGCACCTCACATACTCCGTCACAAACACACCCCTCCTGCACACCCCACTCCCAACTATCTCACAGAAACACACCTATTCACATACATAAATACGTGTGCACACACACACACCTCATACACATATAGTTTCAGATCCACTCGTACACTCTCACAACTGTCCTCATTCACATATACCCCACCTCCACATTTCATATACGCATACAATCATTAATATGCGTCCCCCACAGACACATGCACACACAGACACAACATCTCACTTTACCTATGCCACTTCACCTGCACACATACAATCTCATTAAACCACTCCCTCTCACACCCCTCCTGCCTCTTTTTCTCTCTTTCATACATACACTCACATACATTCATTCACAGGCACATATACACATTTCTTCACACACAGATACATTTTACCGCTAGAATTAAAAAAAAAAATACTGCATATATTGTTGTTACAGTAAAGCATTATAAAGGTATATAAAGAAAACAATTGACCATACCTGCAGAATCTCCTAAGATAATCCAGGAAACCAATCCCATGTGTAATTCGTGCCACTTGGGTTGAGACCTGCCCCTGAACACCCTCAGTATTGATAACCACATCCATACCCTTGTGTACCCATTTCTCTGTCTGGTGAGCCAACCTGTATAGACCACATCAGAGATGTCTTGTTGGCTTTTGCGAATGGAAAGCCCCAGCAGAAGACAGAGAGGAGGAAGGAGAGTGAATTATACTATTCCCCCTTTCCTCCCTGTGCTCATCTTGGCCTGGCTGTCTCCTTTGCCTGCAACCACTGCTCCTCTCAAGAAGGTCACCTCTAGGCAACTCTCTCTTGTGCTTTGGTAACTGGTCTTCTTCTTATCTCTTCAACTTTAGGGGTGGTAATAGCTCTCTTGTTGTTTGGAGTAACTGTGTTGTTTATTCCTTGTAGTTCCCCTATATCCTGCTCTCCCGTTTTTAAAATAAAGCCTTCTTTTATTATTCTAATTTGAGTACATCACTATATTCTTATTGAGACCCTGATTGATATCTCTCTGCACACATCTGTTATGCTCCTAGCAACTTATACATATATTTTATTCCCAGAATGGGAGTCATATATAATACATATAGTTTTAAAAATTAATGTCTTATTAAATTATGAGTTTTTAATGTCTTTGAATGTTTTAATAACTGTATAATATCCTATTTCATAACCATAGCACAATTAATTTTAGTATAATCAATTTCTGAAAATAGTTAAAATGAAATTTTACAGTATATATTCTTTTATGTTTGATTTTTTAATTCAACTTTATGTTGCTGAAATTCATCCATGTTGCTGTGTGTGGCAATGGTTCATTCTCATTAATGTATACTATTCTATTATATGCATATATTAAAATTTTCACATCAATTAGACTGTAGTCCAAGTATATACCTAAGAGCAAAATGATAGTTTACCATAGTTCATTTAACTGTGTTTTATACTCAGGACCATTTAGCAATTAAACTTTGAACATGATTATTCATGGGTTTATTTCACACCACGGAGGTGCAAGAATGCTCTACCATTTAGAATCTATGTATTTTTAATAACACCAGTTTCACTATTGGAAAAACCATTACAGTCATGATTTTGCTAATTATTAAGCATCGAATTTTATAAATAAAATCTTGTAACATTTATTATTTGAATTACCAAAACATATGTCCATAGTCATCTTGATTAGATACTTACTATATCTGGAGTGTAAATTCTTGATTACAGCAATTGACTATCACTAAAACGTAGATTAAATGAACACATACATATTTCCTTGTATATTCTGAAGCATTTTACTATTATTAATTTATTAATTAATTAATTAATTTTCTTCACACAGGGTTTCACTGTGTTGCACAGGCTGGAGTTCAGTGGCATGATGTCACGGCTCACTGCAGCCTCGACCTCCCAGGTTCAAGTGATCCTCCCACCTCAGCCTTCGAAGCAGCTGGGACTGCAAGTGCAAACCATCACACCTGGCTAAGTTTTGTATTTTTTGTAGAGATGGAGTTTCACCATGTTGCCCAGGCTAGTCTGGAACTCGTGGGCTCAAGCAATCCACCCGCCTTGACCTCTCAGAGTTCTGGAATTACAGGCATTACTACACCTCACCCTTCTGAAATATTTTAAACTAAAATAGAAACACCTTAACAAATGAGGTAGGTGGGCTTTGAGCACATTATAATCTAATTTTCGAAATAGCTAAATCTTTTGGGCAAAGTTTTGTTTTCCTAACCCAGTGTTTCTTAAAGAGAAGTTATTGGCATTGTGAATGAAATCAATTTTCAAAAAATTAACATGCACTGGCTCATAAATTGCAGACCATTCAGCATCCCTGACCATCTCCACCAAATTAACAAAACACCTCTTCATCCTGGTGAATGTGACAAGCCAAATTTCTTACACATCGTTCTGGTTTTGAGGGTGGGGGGCGAAAGCATGGGTGTTGAGAATCATGGTTTAATCAGCTTTTGGTTGAAGTAGGGAATGAAAGAAAGGGAAAGAACAGCTAAGGGAAATTAAGAACATTATACGCAAACCAGGGCTCTGCCTTAAACTTTTCAACTGCTACCAGTGTTTGCAAGAAATGTCAACTGCTGTCTGATTGCTTTTTCAGAAATGATCTCAGTGAGAAATCCAGAACTGTGCTATAGAATAAGAAGTTTATCTAAGGTACAAAGTCAGGCTTTCTGAAGTCAGAAGAACAGGGAAATATTGAGTGAGGTCAAAATTGTGGCTGACACAGGCCAGGGGATTCCCTTTTAGCTTAGCTAAGCATGACTTCTGTGATCTAACCTCACCAGAATGCCCCGTGCTGCCTACGCATTTTGAAAGACGTCACAACGAATCTTCAATTCCCCGCCGCCTCTCCCAGGACTCCTCCGCTAGCAATTCTCTCCCCACCACCTCTCGACATTGATTACCTAACATAGCAAATAATTTACTTACTAGTTATAGTTTTTATTTACTTTCTGCAAATAAACACCTGCTTTAATTGATGTTACACAAGGGTCAGGGTGCTTGTCTCTTTTTCACTGACGTATTCCTGTTACTTAGAACTCTGTCTGGTACTCAATGAATATTTCTCTGATTTGTTTTCCTAACTTTACAAGTGAGAAAACTCTGAGTTACCGCAGTAGAGTCTGGGTTAGAAGTCAGATGATTCTATTTTCAAAGTCATTTTTCTTTTACTTCCACCTTTCTGCCCCTTTCCCTACACCCAACTCCCCACCACTCCTCTCTCTTCCATAACATCTGATAATGTTTTTTGAGTTTCTGAATACCCCAGACTGGATTAATTGTCCGTGGAATTCTATTTTAAATCTAGCTATAACATTTCTATACACTGTTGTAATTGCCTATTTATTTGTGCTTTTCTCCAACCAGTTTGTAAGTTTTTTGAGAACTGAGGATTGAGTAGTGTTCATCAGTGAATTTTCAGTTCCCTGCATAGAGCCCAGCACATAGTAGGCACGCAATACTTCTTTGCTGAATTAATTCATGAATAACATCTACACACTGACATGTTATCGGGATCCTCTTTTTACGCCCTATGTTTCTTACTGGAAGCAACTTTGTGGGGATAGCTGCCATGTCTGAGAAGGTAAAACAATTAGCTCAGACTGTAAAAATCTGTCCCACCATTCGTCAAGTTGGAATAACAGACACCGATTAAGTCACCTGCAAAGTTAACAGGAATCAGTGTTTCCTCCAAGCACATATTGCAGCTGTAATGTGTCCGCTTCTTTGAGTGACTGTTG